TGTGGCATTACTGGTCTGCTGGCATCTTGCTATTCCTTAGGCGGTGGCTGCCATCTCTCTCTGCCTCTGCATTTTTCCTTCCTGTCTCTCCTTGGATTTTCCACCTGCTTCTAAGCTGCCTTGCCATAGGCCAAAACAGCTTTATTTATTAGCCAATGGGAGTAACACATATTCACAGTGTACAGAAAGATATCCCACAGCAACACATTTGTCTCCCATACTCTAATCCCATAGTCTAGCCTAGTCTGATCCCATACAGGTTCCACAGTTGTTGGTCTAAAGTTCCTATGAGCTTGGTTCAGTTGTCTCTGTAGATTTCCCCATCATGATCTTGATCCACCCTCCCCCCCACTCATATAATCCCTCTTATCACTCTTTGACTGGAATCATGGAGCTCGAGCTTAACCTGGTGCTTGACTGTGGGTCTCTGCATCTACTTCCATCAGTTACTGTATGAAGGCTCTATGATGACTGTTAGGGTATTCCCCAATCTGATTACTGGGGTAGGCCAGTTCAGGCACCCTCCCCATTATTGCTAGTAGTCTAAGCTGTGGTCATCCTTATGGATTCCTGGGAACTTACATGGAATATTTTCATCGTAAATAAAATGGATAGAAGGATGTAAATCAATCCTTCTCTTTTAAACATGCACAGATACTCAAGAAAATATTTAATTGGAAATTTAAAATTTTCTAGAGGCACATAAGGAAAACAGTCATTAAAAGTCTCCCAACAAAAAAAAAGCCGAGGACCAGATGGTTTCAGTGCAGAATTCTACCAGATCTTCAAAGAAGAGATAATACTCTTTAAATTGTTCCACACAATAGAAACAGAAGGAACATTACTCCTTCTATGAGGCTACAGTTACCCTGATTCCCAAGCCAAACAAAGATGAAACAAAGAGAACTACAGACCACTCTCCCTCATGAACATTTATGCAAAAAATAAAATATTGGCAAGCTGGGTGGTGGTGGCGCATGCCTTTAATCTCGGCACTCAGGAGGCAGAGCCAGGTGGATCTCTGTGAGTTCGAGGCCAGCCTGGACTACCAAGTGAGTTCCATGAAAGGTGCAAAGCTACACAGAGAAACCCTGTCTCGAAAAATAAATATTGTCAAACAGACTCCAAGAACACATCAAAACAATTATCCACCATGATCAAGTAGGCTTCATTCCAGGGATGCAAGGGTGGTTCAATATATGAAAGTAAATAAACTGAAAGAAAAAAAAAAAAACCACATGATCATCTCACTAGGTGCCGAAAAGGCCTTTGACAAAATCCAACACCCCTTCATGATAAAGGTCTTGGAGAGATCAGGAATACGGGGAACATACCTAAACATAATAAAGGCAATTTACAGCAAGCCACAGCCAACAGCCAACATCAAAGTAAATAGTTCAGATTATAATCTTAGCAAAGGTCATTTTGAAGATCATGCAACATGCTAGAAATAATACTAGGATTTGGTGTATTTGATTTCTTTTTCTCTTCTTTTCCTCCTCC